TGTGTGTGTGTGTGTGTGTGTGTGTGTGTGTGTGTGTGTGTGTGTGTCCCCAGACGGCGTATCCTCTGATCGACAGCATTGATCCTCAGGGTTTCGTTATGTATCGCCTCTTCAGAGATGCAACACACTACATGGAGGGACATCATGTGAAGGTAATCTGTGTGTGTTTATATATTTGTCTATTTATACATATCGGTCAACTCTGTCAGCATTGGCTTGAAAGGTTTAAATAAATAAATAATATGTTTGGTAAGAAATGTCAATATTAACATCAGCATTCATGTTTCATCACAGAACAGTCATAGCATCACGTCTTTAATGATGATCTATAGGACCTATTGCATTAGAACCTGATGGTAATAAACACTTTGAGATACTCAACATGACCTCAACTCCCCTCTCTAGCCAACCCTGAACAGTTTATCACTAACACTTCTTTACCACTCGATTGAGTCTGACTAAAGATTCCTGTTTTCAAAGTGTTCTTTTTTTTATGTAGTAATGAAACATGATGGAACACCTGTAAACACCAACATGCTGCATTAACCCCCCTGTCTGTTCTCCATGGCTGCCTTCTGCTGCCACATTGATTCTTCTCCTCCTCCTCACCACAATAGACCTCCCTCCTCCCCTCTGTCTCCCTCTCAGGCCTCATTAATCCTTCAGCCTCCTCCCTTCTTTCCCCTCTTCCTCTTATCTCACCTCCCTTTCACCCTCTTTCACCCCTGCCCTCCTTTCTTTGCTTCCATCCTCTCTCATCTCCTTTGCTCCATTTCTTTTACTCCCTCCTTCGTGTCCCCCCTCTCTCCTCCTGTCTTCCTCCCCCCTCCTCCAACTGTCATCTCTGGGTTTTTATTGACGAACAGTCTGAAGGCTGCAAGAAGCTGCTTAACCTACTTCCCAGGAAGAGGACACACTTATCATCTCATCTCCATAATGCCAAGACAGGCTGAATGCAACAGATGCTAAGAGAGAGTTAATAATGCTCTATATGCTGAGGGAGAGTTAGAGATGCTACATGTGTCAACACAGAGTTAGTCAATGTGTATGGATGTGCATGTTCTGCCATCTACGATTATGATCCAGATACTGTCAAATGCGCCTAAAGCATGCACACATAAAAACACAACCTGTGGACACACACATTGTGTCTTTTGTCTCCTGCAAGACTTCGACCCTCCAATAGGTGATTTAGAGTCCCTCCATCTAAACACAACAGGTGGAAGAATTCTTTTACAGATCAGTCTATCCTGTTGCTGAATCAAAATCAGTGCACCACTAACTGAGATCTGAAGCCAGGCGATATAAATATCATGACTGTTTGAATATGTTCTGTACGTCTACAAAATGGTCCCATATGTGTAGCTGTTTGTTCAACCTGCATGTAAGTTTCTGGATCGGAACTGCCCAAGGATGCTAAATGTATTTCAGTACAAACTGACAACAAAGTTATGGTACAAATCCTCTGGATTGAACCGCCAGCCTCACTCTAAATATTAGACTACAGACACTCACATGTATCCTTAGAACCGCTCCACTAGTGGAGTCACGACTGTAGAGACCATTCAGTGTCGTTGGGAAACATGGTGGGGCTGTCATTGTTGCTGAGCATTGCATCTTTTGTCACATGTACAAACACAAGTCATTTAAAGAGTCCTCCACTGATGTCACACCAATGACACTGTGGGGCTCACAGCAGACAATTAGAAAACAAAAAAGACCAAAATCGATGCAGAAGAGAACCAGAGATGTCATCTGCTTTTATTTATTCATTTTATTCTTCTTCCTGGTGTTTACATTGCCCACAATGCAACTCTAGTGGTGCAGAGATTGTAGAGTGTTACGCTAGCAGCAGCTAATGCATCTTAGAGCGTCTGTCCTACAGCAGAGGTGAGCAGCTGACTGAGCTCTCACTTCTTTCTGTGTCTCCAACCAACGCTAACTCAAGTGACATCACTTGAGGACATTTATTAGACTTCGTGCAGCTCCTTTCATACCACTTTTATAACGTGGAGTTGTTTTACTCTCTGCTGTCTGATAGTGTTTCACAAATAATAATAATCAGCTCCATAATTCCCGCTGAGCCTCAGTGTGGTGACCCTCCTCACCCTCTCATAAACCTGACCAACATGCAGCTATTGTTTGCTGCCCTGCATCTGAGCAGCAGACGTCTTATTGTTTGTTGGCTGTTGCCGGGACAGGAAACGCAACACAACAGTTGGATTAACTGTCTTACTTCAAACTTTGTTGTTTATCTTACTGCGGCCTGCTGTCACTGTCAGGAGGTTTAATGTGTCATCCTCATGTTTACTTTATGAATCTAAACCTGTAGACTTCAGGAGACGATGACATCATTAATCCCCATGTTTTATATTTATTCATGTCATTATTTATTAAAGGCTCAACCCACAAAACACATGCAAATGCAGCCTTTTTAGCTAAAAATGACACCATGGAGTACTTATTATATACAGTGGGTACGGAAAGTATTCAGACCCCTTTAAATTTTTCACTCTGTTTCATTGCAGCCATTTGCTAAAATCAAAAAAGTTCATTTTATTTCTCATTAATGTACACTCAGCACCCCATCTTGACAGAAAAAAACAGAAATGTAGAAATTTCTGCAAATTTATTAAAAAAGAAAAACTGAAATATCACATAGTCATAAGTATTCAGACCCTTTGCTCAGTATTGAGTAGAAGCACCCTTTT